CCTACTACCCTGAGCGTGAGTGAGGGTGGCATCGCAACCTCCCGATCCGCCCTGCTCTGTGCATGACCAGGGGCTGCACTTAGGTGGGCCTGCCCAAGCAAGCCTCATGTTAGGTTCAAGCTGCCTGGCTGCTGCCGCCATCTTGGTTGGCAGTTAATTTGCATATCGCCCTGATTAGCCAATGGGAAGGGTACCGGAGGTGCGGCTAATTACCATGTTTCTCTATTATTAGATAGGATAGATGATTTAATTTTATCTCAATCTTCTTAAAAGTATGTGGAATGATATTTTTTTTTTGCCAGTAAGTATACTGAGTTACCAGAGAAGGGATAGAGTCAAGCCTCAAAACCCTCTCTAACTCTTACCTTCATAAAAAATTTGATTTCTGCATGCTAACTCCTGAAGGAATATACAGTTGGCTAACTTTCATTTGCAAAGGGGAAATGAAGCTGCATTAAAGTGATGTTTTTGATAAGCTTAACGTATGTAAATATATTTGATTTTTTTTGGTAGGGAGCAACTGCTTGCCTAAAGTTATTAAACACACTGTACAATGTCAAACATCAGTGAAAATCTAATCATGAACTTGCATGTCTCAGCTGGTATGGCTCCTGTGCCAAGGCTAAGAAAACCCAGGAAGACCAGGAGGTCACTATGCGTGATTGATGGGTTCAGTCAAGTCATGAAAAGCAGAAGCCAAAACTATGTAAAACTGAAAGTTGATATACAAAGACAAGACACAGACAAATAATGCAGCCAAGTAAAAATGACCAGTTAAGCTATAATGAAGGGACAGAATTATAGGCAAAAACAATGGCAAGAATTCCTCATAGTATGACAACTAAGAGTATGAATTAAGAAAAATAGAGAAAAGGTAACAAAATGCCAAAAACAAGTTGAAATTTAACCTATTATAGGAGCAGAAGTAACATGTAAACCTATTTCATAAATTATGAAGCAGCATAAACTTTTATCTATTATTAGGTATTATGTTTGTTATTTTTCCTTTTTATTGAATTTATTGGAGTGACACAGGTTAACAATATTATATAGGTTCCAGGTGCACAATTCTACAACATTTAATCAATTAAATTTCACCATATGTCCCTGTGAGGAAAGGATGATGCTGGTCTTTGTCATCATTGCAAGCCCAGTATCACATTTAGAAGCCATCACAAAAGTAGGGGTTCAGCATTATTTGTTGAATGATTAAATGAATAAGCGGAACCACCCAGGTGAATACCGTCTCATCATATTAAGGCTCTATAATGTCTTCCTCAAATGCAATATTTCCTTCTCTGTGCTCATAACAAGCTCTGTTTATGTTAGTATCATATTTATCACATTAATGGTTATATAAATTTCTATTTTCCAACATAGATTGTGAGTTCTTTAGAGCCTTGAAGTTAGAAATCATGTATTGATCACTGTTGTATCCTGGGACCTCTCACAGTGCTGGATACATCACATGAACTCAGAAGTGGAAAGATGAACTCTGTCAGCTTTAAAATTTCAATTGGCCTTGCTTCAAGAACAAACCCATTTGTACACAGGACAGAAAGCCAGGTATTATTGAGGAAAATTGCTTAATCTGCTCTAGGAATTACAGATAATGTCCTGAATCTTCTTAGTTTCATAATAATTTAAAACTTTCTTCTTCTCCTTCTACACCTTCTCCTTCTATTTCTTCTTTTCTTTCTTCTCCTCTTCCTTCTTCGCCTCTTTTTCCTCTTCTTTTTCTCCTTTTTCCTCTCCTTCCTCCTCCTCCACCTCTTCCTTCATTTATAAATATAAGCCGCATATTAAGACTTCATTGCCCTTTCAGAACAAACAAAATATATCATGGTAATTTTATATTATTTGGAAAAGGATAGACTTTAAATCCAAACTACATAGGGTTTTAACAATTAAAGTAAAGCATTAGTTTATAAAGCAGGCGATCGAATTTTAAAGCTCATTATCCGGAAATATGATGAGATGTCGAGTGTGTTTCCCTCCACATCCTGCATGGTTCAGGGTTCGGGTCTGGAAGAGGAGCTGCACACAAATGAAAGAGAAATGACACGAGATAATTTGGAAATATTGGGGGACCAGGCGGGCAAGTCCAACTCAAGGGGGACTTCCATGTGGGCACAAACAGGTAGTTGGACATTCCCTGAGGGGTCTCAGATTGGAGATGGTGAAGGCCAGACTGAGGGGCCCCTTTCCCCCCCCTACCCGAGTGCACGGTGCACCGGGCTACTTGTCAACAATAATCAACAAGGATTTACATGAGTATCTAAGGAATTAAGTGAATTAAGGTGGGGATGATGCTTCAGCTACCATTATCTAGATTAACTGGGTGGTATCTAGATTAACTGGGTGGTGCACAGCTCCGACCTTTGCTAGGGCTTCGAAGGTCACTAGCTTTGGGTCTCTACTCTTCTCTGCTAGTGAAGATGATAGGTGGTCTCTGACATCTCCCCCTTCTTTTTCCCTTAAAAATTCTTCTATCTGTAGACCATAAATATAAGAACAAGTCCCAATTTCAATGTCCAACAGTTCTTTTTTTTTTTTTTTTTCAGATGAAGCTCATCTTCGCATCATTTGGCACCCAGAGGAAGAGGAGGGTGCACTGCAATGGGGACTGCTGATACTGCCTCTTCTGTGTTTTCATTGTTGATCCTATTGGCCGAATCAGGTACACACACAGGTATCAGCGTTGCTGCTATTCTTCTGATCCTTGCAGGACAGTTAGATGTCCATCTCAAACTGAGCATCATCCCCAACTGCATGCTTTCTGTCATGATTGTTCAGGTTGTTCAAATTGTTTACTTCTACTTTGGAGTCTTCGATTAAGGTGCCAGGGCTGGTGACTCCTGGGATATTGGGCAGATGGCAGGGTGGGGTCTGAGCCATGGGAGAATTTCGACGATCCAGCAGAAACTTTCGATCATAAATGATTCGGGTTCCTCCCGGTGTGGTGGAGAAGAGCGTCCCCCCGGGCGTGGTGCAATAGTCATGAGGTAGCTGCGCAGCGTCGCTGATGGGCAAGGTGCGGGTGGGGATGGCAGGGCTCTGGCTGGGCTGGTGGCCGCTGCCAGCAGACGAGGACATGGCTCTGGGCGCGGGAT